TGAGTGCAGAGCGTTGTCGTCCGAAGATGGTCCTTGGGAGGAATTCGCCGCCTTCGTGGAGTGGACTCTGGCAAGAACCCGGACCCAGAGCCCAGCCGACCATCTTCCCGCGGTACGGAGCATCAGTCTGAGCCCACCGATGACGGAGAGCCATTTCCCGCCGCGATCCGCGGGCCAGAGCAAAGCCAAGCGACTGAGCAGAGGATCGCCTCGGAAGTTGAGCCCAACCCGTCAGACCAGGTGCGAGAGCCGGCAACAGTGCCCACCACGAGGGAGCAAGCCATGGACTGTGTAAGCGTGGAGAGGAGCTCTGCCCCCTGCATCATGGCTGAGGGTGAGCTGACTATGGCGGGACATAAGTGCCAAAACAAAGAAGGGAGGGATCCAGCCCCCGAAGCCAGCTCAGAGAGCCCTCCAGTGCCTGCTCCTAGAACGCGCCTTGCTGTGCCTGCTCCTCCAGAGCGCCCTCCAGTGCCAGCACCTCGTAAGTGCTTCCCTGATCCCCAGTTTAGCCCTGGAGGGGCTCCTGATCCCCAGTTTAGCCCAGGAGGGGCTCCTGTCAGATCTCCGGATCTCCGCCTCCGCTTTGGTCGCCAGAGTCCTCGGCTCCACCCTGGCCCCCCGGATCCTCGCCATGCCCCTGGCTCATTGGCTCTCCGTCATCGGTGGGCTCAGACTGATGCTCCGTACCGCGGGAAGATGGTGGGCTGGGCTCTGGGTCCGGGTTCTTGCCAGAGTCCACTCCACGAAGGCGGCGAATTCCTCCCGAGGACCATCTTCGGACGACAATGCTCTGCACTCGGCGTTCAGTCTCACCCCTTGGCGGAAAAATATATGAGCTGTGTGGAGGAATCTCAGCCTCGGGCTCCTCCACCACCTGCTCCGCCGCCATTAGTCAGCCCCCTGGAGTCGGTGGCCATTCCTCCTCCATGGCTCTTCCCTCCATCGGCTCCACCGTGGGCCACTGTTATGGCTGTGGCCTGGGTCCTGCTGTGTTCTTCCTGCTCCGGGTCCCTCCTGTCTCCTTCCTGGACTCTGTCTGCCGGCCCCCTCCTAGGCGTCCGTCCTCCTCCTGAGCCTCCTCCCTAGTTCCCACCCACTCCCCTCCCCATGTTGTTTCTACGGTGCGAGGACGCACCTTCCGGGAGGGGGGAGTAACGTCACGCCCCTGGACTCTGTGTTGTGTTTTCCCGCCCCAGGTGTGACGTGTTCCCTTTAATTAGTCATTCCTTGCACCTGTGTTTTCCCAATCACCCAGTGTTTAAAAGCCCCAGTCCTTTCAGTTAGTGTTTGTCAGTCCTCAAACGTCATTCCTTGTGTTCCAGTGTCTCCTACATTCCCCGTGTGATCATTAAAGACTGTGAATTGAAGTTATCTCCGTGTTTCCTCGTTCCTCGCTCCTTGCCTCCCGAGAAGTGTGACAATAGTTAACATGTTTGAGAATATTTTGAATAAAAAGGGAAAAAAATTAATAAAACATAAGCCTATATCAATAATAAAGTGCTATCGTGGCTGCTGTGTGTCACATAACGAGCATGACATGGCCACCCCCCCCTCCTTCACTCGTGCCCCCACAAAAATATTGATTGCATGACTCCCCTGACACAACAATACAAAATTATTTGTCAGATAAATGAAATATGATGAAACACTCATTTTGAGTTTAAACTGTTATAGCTTACTTCTAGAGATTGCAGTAATATATGACATGGTAAAAAATGGCTGAATGAATAATACTGAAAGTAGGTTAAAATTAAAATAATAGTGTGCCCCCTAAAAGTGCAAGTGGCCCCTGCCTGACTCAATGGCTAGAGAATACCCATAATGCACTGTGAGAGTCATGCGCCGAATGAATTCCCGCATCTCGCCAGAAGATGGCGCCCCACCGGTCTCGAGTCCCACGGAGGAGCTCCGGAAGGGTAAAAGGAGGAGTGACAGCAGTGAAGGATGAGAGAGGACCGGGGGCCCGTCTCAATAGGGAGGTTCAACCAATTCTGAGTTAAAACTTGAACTCTGAGTTGACTTACTCTGAGATGGGAAACTCTGAGTTTTCGGTTTCAGAACAGCTGAATTGAGTTAGTTCAATCGACTCTGAGTAGGTTGACTCTGAGTTTAGCGCGTGCACCATGACTATGAAAAGCCATGATCAATGGAGCTCCGATATTATGATTCACCATGGCAACAGCTCCCGCCAAAAAGACTTATTTTACAAATGACCTGCCAATATGGTAAGAAAAATATGGCAGCGGCTATTTACACTAAGTGGAATTAGCATACTTTCTTAGCGATAGATCCTATTTACAGTAGGCTAAGTGCAAATAGCTCTAGATGCTATTTACACTATAGTGAAAATAGTGATATACAGTCGTGGCCAAAAGTATTGGCAGTGACACAAATTTTGTTTTTTGCCAAATTTGCTACTTAAGCTGTTGTGGTGTCATTCACATTGTTTCTACAAGTATTGGCAGTAACATAATCTAGAAACAATGTGAATGAACACCACAACAGCTTAAGATGCAAATTTTGCAAAATACAAAATGTATGTCACTGCCAATACTTTTGGCCACGACTGTACAGTATACTGGCAGATACATACTATTTGCACCTCAGTATTGTTGTACATTATCAGGATGCAATAATACTACAAAAGTGTAAATTATTATTACAATTATAAATACTTCTGTCATTATTAAACACTCGTTAGGCACTTTACTTCCACTTGTAGAACATTTTCTTAATTTTTATTGAAAATAAATTCCAGTGTGATATGTGATGGAAAAAGTGCGAAGAGCGAGCTCGGCAAGAGCCAGACTCGAACCCGGTCAATCACATCACAAGCTTGTTCTCCGAAAAAAATACTTAGTAAAAAAAGCATTTTTGCAGCGTGCATGAATGAATGAAGTATTTAAACGTCGCTTGCGCTTTAAAAAGGGGGAGGAGATCGTAAGAAACTCTTGGTTTACCGAAGAAAACCTGCTCCTGACCAGGTTAGGTTCACAGAGTAAGTTACCATGGTTACTGACTCTGAGTATAAGTTACATCTCTTTCAGAAACGGGCTTGACTTACCCTGCTTTCTCGGGTTTGACAAACCTCCCATTCTGAAACGGAAAACCCAGAGTTTCCCTCATTTCAGGGTTAACATACTCAAGAGTTTTCACTTAACCTCCTTTCTTAAACGGGCCCCAGGCCTGGACTATTTATGTTGTTGTTTTATTATGTTTCATTCGTGAGGGGCTGCTGCTTTTACTTTCGTTTTGTGTTTATTTGATTATTAAAGTTTTGTTTAAATGTTCGCCGGTTCCCGCCTCCTCCTTCCCGGATCTACGAACTGCGTTACAGACACCATTTCTGAGTAGCTGTTCCTATGGTTTGAAGTCGTCGTTCAGACAACAGCACAGGCTTATTGGCCTTGTCATTCTGACAAAAAGAGAATTTTTGAAGCTCTTCATTTAGCTCAATTATAGTTATATGCTTTTGATTATGAGTTTTGCAAATAACATGCTTCAAAGTCAGTGGAAAAACTCCCTCCAGCATATAATGCATTATGTCTGGGGTCACCTCAAAATAATCTACTATATCAAATTAACTTTTGCCATTTACGCCATACAAAGCAATATTTTCTTTGTTATGCTGGACACACTGGAGATGATATTCATGGACTTCAGTCATTCTCAGAACAAAATTATCTTCCTGGAATTTTTGATTAATTTAAAAAATGAATGTGTTGCCATACAGTAACGACAAATTCAACCTGAGTTAAAACAGATGCGGAAGCCACCAATCATATGCGATGACAGATTGTCAGCAGAAAACGTTGCTAAAGCAGCATAAACTTTGTGTTCTGTTCCACAGACACTTAGGCTGATGATACACGGAGCAACTTTTTGAGCAATGTTTCTTGGGCTCTTTCCTATCGAGAATATGTAACAAATTTCAATATGGATACTTTAGATCAGTCGTGGGTCCTGTGTCTCACCTGGTTGCCTGTTGACAGCAACATTAACCAACGTTGCCTGGCAACATTGCTCAAAAAGTTGCCCCGTGTATCATCAGCCTTACAGTGTAGCCTTCAGTTGAAAGTTGTTTTAGGTCATCTATCAATGGTTTTAATATGACGTCCATACCAAACTGTTTCAAATGTGAATGACGAACCAGCAGAGCTAAGTGAATGTGCTTAAGATGAGATCGATATTTTCCACTTAAAAAACAAAGCATCTGTGCTTCCTGTACACGTTTTCTAAAAGAATGGAATCACAAAAAGGTTGATTGGCACTCATCTATACCACAGGTGATAGGCTACTAAAATTTGGTTCATGTGCATGTACAACTCATCATGCCTCAACATGTTGGATTACAGTGTTCCCCACAGTCTTACGCTCTATGTGTGGCGGTACTTCCCCCGGGGGAAATATATATGTACATAATGTAAATATAAAACAGCAGACGGGCTTATTGAAAATGCAAATTCATTCTTTGCCAAGCAGGAGGCGCTTTAGGAGCGGCAGAAATAGCGGTTTCCCCGGTAACGGCTGTAATCAAAACAGCCTGCGCTCGTGAACGCTACTTTATCAGTCATTATAGGAAAGATGAAAATGACATCAAAACTTTTCTGAAGACAATCGGTCCCCTTCAAAGATACATTCATATAAAAACACCCGCGCCACGTTTTGACTTTGAAATGTGCAGTGCTCATGTTTATTCAATGAAGTCAAAGCATTTTGGAAAATATATCATCAGTGTTGATATTGTGGCGGGCCTCCACAAATAAATCAATGTTTGGGAAACACTGGATTAACTTCACAAGAGTGAATGTCCTTCGAGTGCACTTTGGGCAATGGTACAGTTGAGGCATGAGGATCTAATACAAAAGGTTAATCAACCGGAGTAAAGTTACTGGCAGTGGCTTGTCTCCCTCTTCCACAATGTTGACAATGCAGCTCTGAAGGAACGTCAGTGTGTTTTTCAGGTGTGGTGGACATGCAATGTTGAAAGCAAAATACATACAGAAGGCTGTTTTGAAGGCTTCATCAAGGCTGATGCACTGGCACATGTCTATTCTAATTACTTTCACCGCACTGAGCCATCTTCCAATGATTGCCATTTTCCAGTCATTATCCATCAGTTGTATGGTTGGAAAGGGTGTAGCAGGGTCCCCCTACATAAAAGAAAACAAAAATAATTTTTCAAAAAGCTTTTCAAATACAAACAAAAGTAAATTTAATTTATTGGCATTTTTATTGCAAGCAAATCACATTTGTCAGTTTTGTTATAGCCTCTTGCACGGCTCAGACATTACAGCTACAGCTAGAACTGCAGAACTGCAAAAGCAATTGAAGGCTAATGTGTAAAGTTCACATTATATGATGCATTTATGTTCTTGTATACACTGATAAATCTGAAATTGTTTTCTAAAACCATTGTTTTAAAGGGGTGGTTCACTTGGTTTTTTCTAGGCTTGATTGTGTTTATGGGGTGCAGTCTAACGTGTTAATGCTTGTTTTTTTTAAAAACGCATTATTTTTCACATAATTTACCTTTATTCCACACCGCTCTGTCCCTTCTCTGAGAAACGGGCTGATCATTTCCTTCTTTTATGAAGCCCCTCCCTCAGAAATAGGCGATGGGCTCTGATTGGTTAGCTAGCCCAGTGTGTTGTGACTGGCTAAATGGCCTCTAGTGCATGTCTAAACGTCCCGCCCCTCACCTCGGCGGCATGTGCTCCGGTTGTATTGTAAACAACTGCATCGTTAGTATCGCTTATCAGTTTGAGCCCGATTGAGAAGCAGAGGATATTACTGAAGAGGATCGTGTAGAACCTGTGCAAGCACGGCTTTTAATGGTAGGCCTATGTTTTTTGTTTGTTGTCTCATACTTTTAGATACGCTGTTATTTGCAAATGCTACTGCTTATGTTAACGTTTAATATAGTTTTATCCTGATTAAAGCTTTAATACAGTACGGCAACTGCACACGCGTACATTTGGGTTTGTGATGTCACGAACCTGGGAAGTAACTCATTGTAGTCCCTACCAGCCGTTTTTGTAGGCATTAAACTGCCAGAATTTTAAACTTATTTAGAAAAAATCATGTTTTGTCCCGTATTTCCACATTTTTTTTACAACTGGGTGATCAGAGCAAGTAGTAGAAGTGTTCTGTCACGTGAGAACAGCCTAATCAAACGTAACTAAGCTTGTCGTAGGACAAAATTACCATCCAATCACAATTTGTTATCGATTACAATAAGTGAAGGTGGGCTAGATAGGCGGAATCACGCTGAATGACGCACAGAAGCGCTCTCTTGGCCGCGCGCCCATGCAATCCCAGTTCTGCGATCAGTTCTCCTTGCGCCTTTATTGTCAAATACACACACAGCTGTCAAAATCTCCATCATGTAGAGTATCTCATGTAAATACAGTCAGTTATGGCTTAAGTGAACGTAAACAGGTGGGTGAAAACCGGATATATGTGTCAGTATATTACATTCATTCGGCCTTAAAGGGACAGCAGCCTAATTAAATACCTGTCTGTCTCATTAATGTTAATCAAATAACAAAATATGTTAAATAAATGTATACATGCTATACCTACTGTATTAGAAAAACTAGTTAATTCAATATTTAATTTGTATCTATTGTATTTGTCTTATGGTTTGTAATTTGCTTCTTTATTTTTATATAATAAAAAAGTATGTACTGTGCGGTGTGTGTGTGTATATGTGTATATATATATATATATATATATATATATATATCATATATACGTGTGTGTATATAAATATCATGAAATAAAATTTATCATATCGTGGTCATATATCACCCCAACCCTCCCCAACCCTCCCCAGCCCCAGCAGATTCGCTGATGGACATAAAAAAATATACATTTTATATTTTAAAAAGTTTTATATATATTCGCTTTTATATATTATATAGCATATTTTAAAAACTTTTTAAAATATAA